AATACTATACAAAAGAAAATACATAAAGATGAATTTAGATTTATTCAAGAATCTAAAAAAACCATTTCAAAGAGATGCAAAAGAAAAGCATTTGACAATATCCACCATCCATTCCTGATTAAAAAAAAACTCTGCAGGGCACAGTGGCTCACGCCTGTAATCGCTGCACTGCGGGAGGCCAAGGCGGGTGGATCACCTGAGGTTAGGAGTTTGGAACCAGCCCAGCCAACAGTGAAACCCCATCTCTACTAAAAATGAAATTAGCTGGGCCACGTGGTGGCGTGCACCTGTAATCCCACTGTTTGGGAGCTGAGGCAAATCCTTGAACCGGGGAGGCAGATGTTCCACGCAGGCTTGGTGCCACCACTGCACTCCTTCCTAGGCAAGAAAAACAAAACTCTGTCTCAGAAAAACAAAAAACTCTCAGAAAACTAAAAATGAGAAAAGAGAAAAGTGTCATATCTCCCTTCATATGATAAAAACGGCTTCTACAAATAACCTGTAGTAACGTCAAACTCAATGGCAAAAGACTGCCTTTCCTCCTAACCTAACATTACAAACAGGCCAACATGTCCTCTTTTTTTTTTTTTTTGAGACGGAGTCTCACTCTGGCAGCCCAGACTGGAGTGCGGCGATCTCAGCTCACTGCAACCTCTGCCTCCCAGGTTCAAGTGATTCTCCTGCCTCAGCCTCCCAATGGCTGGGATTACATGGCGCCCGTCAGCATGCCGACTAATTTTTGTATTTTTAGTAGAGACAAGGTTTCACCATGTTGGCCAGGCTGGTCTCAAACTCCTGACCTCCAGGTGATCCACCCATCTCAGCCGCCTCCCAAGGAGTGCTGGGATAACAGCAGGCATGAGCCACCGTGCCCGGCTCTTTTTTAACATTTTTATTTTTTGAGACAGAGGTCGCCCCTTGGCTCACTGCAACCTCCATCTTCCGGGCTCAAGCATTCCTCCCACCTAAGTATCCTGAGTAGCTGGGACTTACAGGGCGCACGCAACCATGCCTTGCTAATTTTTGTATACTTTTATAGAGAGATGGGAACTCACCATGTTGCCCAGGCTGGTTTCTAACTCCTGGCCTCAAGTGATCCTCTCCTGCCTCAAGCCTCCCACAGTGCTGGGATTAGCCTGAGCCACTGTGCCGAAGCTAATTGTATTTCTATCAACTAGCAATGACCCATAGGAAATTGAAACCTTCAAAAGACGCGTGCATGGGCTGGGCATGGTGGCTCGTCCTGTAATCCCAGTATTTCAGGAGGCCCGAACAGATGGATCGCGAGTCGAGGACCGGTTCCAGCCACAATGCTATAGTGAAACCCCATCTCCACTAAAAATGCAAAAATTAGGCGAGGCAGTGGCTCACGCCTGTAATCCACAGCACCCCCAAGGAGGCCAAGGCAGGAGTGGATCACAGAACCTGCCAGGCCAACATGGTGAAACCATCTCGCCCAGACCCGAAGGCAAGGAGTTGCAGTAAATAAGATAGGCGTCACTGCACTCCTAGCCGGGCAACAGAACAAAACTCCATCTCAAAAAAAAAAAAAAAAAAAAAAGGCTGGTAGCAGTGGCTCACGCCTGTAATCCAAAACGCACCAGGAGGCCGAGGCGGGGAGATCACAAGGTCAGGAGATCGAGACCATGGTGAAACCCCGTCTCTACTAAAAAATAGAAAAAAAAAAATTACAGGCGAGGCAGGCGAGGCGCCTGTAGTCCCAGCTACTCGGGAGGCTGAGGGAGTGGGAGAATGGCGTGAACCCGGGGCCCGGAGCTTGCAGTGCTGAGCGAGATTGCGCCACTGCACTCCAGCCTGGGCGACCGAGCGAGACTCCATCTCAAAAAAAAAAAAAAAAAAAAAGGAAAGAAAGAAAGGAAAAAAAAAAGGCCAAGCGCAGTAGCTCACCTGTAATCCTAGCACTTTTTGGGAGGCTGAGGTGGGAGGATCACGAGATCAGGAGACCAGCCTGGCTAATGGTGAAACCCTGTCTCTACTAAAAATAAAAAATAACTAGCCTGGTATGGTGGTGTACGCCTGTAGTCCCAGCTACTCAGGAGGAGGAGGCAGAGGTGAGAGAATCTCTTGAACCTGGGAGGCAGAGGTTGCAGTGAGCCGAGATTATGCCATTGCACTCCAGCTGGAGCAATAGAGGAGACTCCATCTCAAAAAACAAACAAACAAACCAAAAATTAGCTGGGTGTGGGGGCATGTGCCTGTGGTCCCAACTACTCAGGAGGCTGAGGCAGGAGAATCCTTGGATGGGAGGTGGAGGCTGTAGTGGCCGAGATGGTGCCACTGTACTCCAGTCTGGGTGAGGAGAGTGACTCTGTCTCAAAAAAATTAAATAATTCCTAAATGAATGAAGAGAGATACCATGCTTATGAAGCAGGAGACTCAATATTATTAAGATACCACCAGTTCCTCCTGAGACTGGTGTACTAGAATCAATGTAATCTCAGTCAAATCAGTAGATGTTTTTGTAGAATTGACAACCGATTCTTTTTTTCTTTTTTTTTTTTTGAGACAGAGTTTGCTCTTGTTGCCCAGGCTGGAGTACAATGGTGATCTCGACTCACTCGCAACCTCTGCCTCCCAGGTTCAAGCCAATTCTTCTGCCTCAGCCTCCCGAGTAGCATGGGATTACAGGCATGCACCACACACCTGCTTTTGAGCACTGTATTTCAGTGAACACGGGGTTCTATGTTGAGGCTGGTCTCGAACTAACCTCAGGTGATCTGCCTGCCTCGGCCTCCTAGGGTCCTGAGACCACAAGGCGAAGCCACCTGGCCGGCCTGATTCTAAAAGTCATATGGGAAGTAGTAAAATAAACAAAACAACTTTGAAAAACAAGAACAAATTGGGGACCCGGACCTGCACTTCCTGACTTCATGGCTTATTATAAAGCTACAATAGTAAAATATTGTGGTATTTGTGTCAAGACAGCCAATTATATCAATGAAGAGAATAAAAACTCCAAAATGGAGCCCACCACCATTATATGGTCAATTGATTTTTGAAAAAAGTGCAAAGTGCAGACTGGATATTCTTTTCAACAAATAATGTTGGAACAATTGGATAGCCATGTGCCCCCAACTTCTTTTTATCTTTTTTTTTCTTTTCTTTCTTTCTTTCTTTGTTCCTGAGACAGAGTTTGCTCTGCCCAGGCTAAGTACAGTGGTGCTGCTGATTGGCTTACTCCACCTCCCAAGGTCAAGCAATTCTTGTGCCTCTACCTCCCTGTAGTATTTCAGGACTGCAGAAATCATGCTACAGTAGATGGAGTTTCACCATGTTAGCGAGGCTGAGTCTCAACATCAGCTCGAAACAATCCACCCGCCTCAGCCTCCCAAAGTGCTGGTATTACAGGATCCCGGGGGTGCCCAGCACTCCCTCATTTCCACACCATGGGGGAGAGGATCGACTGAGAACATCTGGGAAAGAACTTTCTGTGATGTAAATATACTTTTTTTTTTTTTGAGGCCAGATCCCAGCTCTGTCGCCCAGGCTGGAGTGCAGTGATCGGCCATGTCAGCTCACTGCAACCCTCCGCCTCCTGGGTTCAAGTGATTCTCCTGCCTCAGCCTCGTAGCTGGGCCACAGGCGCCCACCAGCACGCACAACTATTTTTTAGTAGAGGCAGTGAGCATTTCCTGTGTTAGCCAGGCTAGTCTTGATTGCCAGCCTGTGATCTGCTACCTTGGACTCCCAAAGTGCTGGGATTACAAGTGCTGAACCATACACCTACTGATGCAACATTCTATACGTGATAGGGGGTAGGAGCTACTTAGCAGTGTCATTTTTTTCTCTTTTTTTTTTTTATGAGACGGAGTCTCACTCTGTCGCCCGGCTGAGAGTGCAGTGGCGCGATCTCAGCTCACCTGGCGCTGGCCTCCTGGGTTCATGCCATCTCTGCCTCCGCCTCCCGAAGTAACAGAACTAGAGTGACACCACCCATGCCCAAAATTCTGTAATGTTTTGTATTTTTTTGTAGAGATGGAGTTTCACCATGTTATGGGATGGTCTCGATCTGACCTCGTGATGGCAGGCCTCGGCCTCCCAAAGTGCTGGGATTACAGTTGAGCCACCAGCCCTGCTGAGTGTATTCTTTTATCAGGCTGCTGTGAATTTTGATTTGTGAATTTTACTGCATGTAAATTTTACCTCAAAAATGCCTGTAAACAATGGGTTAGGTATGCTGGCTCCCACCTGCAATCTGGGCATTTGGAGCTAGAGGCAGAAAGAGTTGCACTTGAGGCCAGGAGGTCTGGGGGCAACCTTGGCACTGCAGATCCTGTCTCACCCTCTCTATGTGTGTGTATGTGTATATATATGTATGTGTGTGTGCATATATATATATGTATGTGTATCATACGTGTATGTGTGTGTTTTTTTTTTTTTTTTTTTGAGACAGTCTTGCTCTGTCGCCCAGGCTGGAGTGCAGTGGCGTGATCTCAGCTCACTGCAAGCTCCACCTCCCGGGTTCAAGCCATTCTCCTGCCTCAGCCCCGCAAGTAGCTGGGACTACAGGTGCCCACTACCACATCCGGCTAATTTTTTGTATTTTTAGTAGAGACAGGGTTTCACCGTGTTAGCCAAGATGGTCTCAATCTCCTGACTTCGTGATCTGCCCGCCTTGGCCTCCCAAAGTGCTGGGATTACAGGCGTGAGCCACTGTGCCCAGACTAATTTTGCATTTTTAGTAGAGACAGGGTTTCTCCATATTGGTCAGGCTGGTCTCGAACTCCCGACCTCAGGTGATCCACCTGCCTCAGCCTCTCAAAGTGCTGGGATTACAGGCGTGAGCCACAGCACCCAGCCTCATATTTCATTCATTCTAACATATCTAAGCTGAGCTTTGAGGAGAAAGTGGGTGACAGGGAATCTACAGCTAAGACAAGTGATTGAGGAATTGCCACCCAAGTCTGTCTACCTAGGGCCCCCAGCTTCTCACCTCCTCCCAACCTCCCTGCCTGATAACCCTAGGGCCAGGCCCTCACCGCCTCCTGGAGACACACTTTGCGGAGCTCCTGAAGTTTCAGGTTCAGGGCCTCCTGCAGGGTCCGCTGCCGGTCAAGCAGCCCCCGCAGACGCTCTGACTTCACCTGGGGGGCAGCCTCTCCGAACAGGGCAGCTAGACACAGAGGGAGCAAAGATCAGTGGGACAGCCAGGGCATTCTGGAGCAGCTGTGGAGCAAGGGACTGACTCTTCCCGAGCAAGCAGGTGGTGATTCAGAGCAGGGGAGAGGGCAGCAGGAGGGGAAGGAGCCACCGACCTGGGGCATTGAAGGTAGGAGAGCTGATCAGCTGACCTTTGACTTCCATCTTGGTGCTGTAGAGAGGCCGTGGCTGACAGCTGGACAAAGTCTGGCAGTGACACACAGGAGCCATTAAGGAAGCACGTCCCATGATACCCCAACCCCCAGCCCTTCCCAGCTTCCCATGCCGCAGCGGGGAATAAGGGGTAACCTGGGCCCCACGTGCCTGCTTGACCTGCCCTTTCAGAATCCGTGTGGATGTCTGGACCCACTTGGCCCTGGTACCTTGGCCCTGGTTCCCTTCGCATTGAGTGGGAGCACAGCAAGTGGGGAGCTGGGCGGACTTACAACGCCTCCTCAGAGGCCCATGGGTCACAGCCACGAGTCTTGCCTGGGGAAGGAGAATTAATGGGACAGATTCAACCAACTATAACAACAATGGACATGCAGTCAACACCTGGGTGCCTGCAACAGTTACCTATGATGCCACACTAAATCTTCAGAGCCACCCGGAAAGATTCGTATTCCCATTTTAGAGATGAGGATAGGCAGGCACAGAGGTGAAATAACTGGCCCACAGCCACAGACATAACCCAGGCCCACCCCTCTGGTCCTACACTCTCACTCATGAGAACCGCTCTAACTCCACCAACTTCCCCATAAGCTCCCTGGTCCCTCAGGCCTCAGGGTCTTTGCCCAGGCTGTGGCTGCTGCCTGAAGTGCTTTCTTCAACCTCTCACCACCCCAGCCCCTGCATCACACTTATCATTCTAGAGCTTAAATATCACTTCCACAGTTATATCCTCTCACAAACGGTTGTCCAACAGGAGATTGTGCCTCCTGGAACATCGACAAGGACAGGAAACATTATCTGTCCCATTTTCATCAGCATCACCAGCACCCTGAACACGGCTGTACACAGAAGTGCTCAATGGGTGCCAGCTGAATGAGTAACAGACGGAGTAAAACGAATGAGGCGGCAGTGGAGCCAGGGTTCAAGCGCAGATCTGTGGGTCTGTGCTTGTCCCAACTCCATTCTGTAGCTCTAGTGCAGCAAGGAGAATGTTCACTTGACCCAGGGTCCCTCCAGCTCCTCTCCCCATGACAGCCTGTCCTGAGCCTAGCGTAGGGAAGTCCTCCTGCTGGGATTTGTGAGAAGCAAAGTCCACAGCTGCAAATAACGAACCACCTGCCTCCTGCCTCCTTCTCTGCCCGATGGCTCGGCTGACCATGGAGCCTGCCTTGGCTGGCCACCCCTCCTCTGGAGTTTGCTCCCTCCCTTCCATATCATGCTCAGTCCCCAGCAGGGCAGCCGAGTCATATCACCTCCCATCACCTGGCCTAACCTAAGTGGCAGGTGACTGAGAGGGCTTTATGGGGCCACAGAGTTCCCATTATCACCTACCTTGAAGTTGGTAGCTTGTCATGACATGTTAGCCTGGTGTGAGGAAGACCCAGCCAACCAAGGAGGCATGGGTTCAAGCCCCTTCCCCATCTGTATATTGTGGGGTGAGGTCAAGCTGCTTATAAAGTGTCATGTTTCTCTGCAGTCCTCCTACCTGCCTCATAGGGCATGTACCCCTCTCTCGAGGCAGTGGTGCCCTGCCTTCAACAGCAGGGGTGGGGATCAGTGCCTAAAGCCTTTTGACAAACCCAGGCCCCGGCAGAGGCATTCACATCCCCGCTCATCTAAGGTCTGACATTTCCCAGCATGGCAGGGGTTCCTCGACATCCCAGCTCACTGGGGCTCCAACTTTCCCAGCCCCCATTTAGGCCCAAGGAACTCTCACAGGGTTCTCTGGAATCTTCCTCCACCCCCACAGGAACCCAACTCTGTCCATGGTTCCCCTTGCCAGCATTGGTCCCAATCCCAAGCTGGGCTGCTTCAATTCTCTCTTTTTTTTTTTTTTTTTTTTTTTTTGGAGACGGGGTCTGGCTCTGTTGCTTAGGCTGGAGTGCAGTGGCAAGATCTTGGCTCACTGCAGCCTCCACTTCCCAGGTTCAAGCAATTCTCCCACTTCAGCCTCCAGCGTAGCTGGGATTACAGGTGTACGCTACCATGCCTGGCTAATTTTGTATTTTTAGTAGAAACGGGGTTTCACCATGTTGGCCAGGCTGGTCTCAAACTCCTGACCTCAGGTGATCCACCCACCTCAGCCTCCCAAAGTGCTGGGATTACAGGCGTGAGGCACTGCACCCAGCCAATCCTTTCTTCTCTAGTTTCTCAGAGCGTCCTAGAAGTCCAGACAGGGTCCACACAGGAACCCCAACTCCTCCCTGTCAGCCCGACCTCGGGGGACATAGTTAGAGCATGAATCATGGGGTCACTGGGCAGGCTAGACACAGTCAACGCCCCACACCCCCACACCCAGTTCCTAAGCCTCTGCCTCCGCTCACCTGCCCTCTGCATACTTGCCTTGGGGCCTCGTCCCCACCTAGATGGTGAGAAAGGGATCCCAGCAAACCCCTCCCCAGCACACCCCCACACCAACCCCAGGTCTTCCCGCACCAGTGACCCCATGGCCCCCATCCTATCCCAGGGATGAGCTGCAGCAGGAGAGCAGCAGAGGGTACCCCCCACACCCAGAGGCGGGCCCGGCAGGTTTTTCAGGTCTGCCATTCTGACACCACAGCTGAGAAATTCCTGGCTGTAATGACTGTTTACAACCAAGATACCTCACCTGGGTGGCACCCCAACACTTGGGGGGGCATTTCCACATCCTGCCACTATTAGAGCAAATACAAACTCTCAATGTCTGGGCCATTCCCCTCCCCAGAACCCCCGCTTCCTCCACTGTAATGAACAAATCAGGCGTAGGCAGGCAGGTGCCCGAGTAATGGTTTCTTAGTAGCCCAGTCTGGTCTTTCTTGGGGAGCTGGGCCCTGGGTTGGGAGAGGACAGAGGCTACTCCTGGGGGAGGAAAGGAAGCAGGGATAGGGTGGAGAAGGGGGGACTCATACTTCTCTTTTCCCCGATCTCTCCTCATCCATTTCCGGCCAGGAATCAGCTCGGTGCCAGGAAAGGAAATTGGTGTTTTGGGCTTTGCCCCTGTCCTCAGGCCCTCCATTCTCACTGCCCCCACACACCGCCCCCCCGTCCCCCGCCACCCTGCCCTGCATTGTTGGTGTGCCTCTTCCACAGACCTGGCTCTCTACTGAAGGGAACTTCAGTACACACTGCCCCAGCTCCCCAATGCCCTCATCCCCCTCGAACCCTGGGCCCACTGCTCCCAGGTGCTCACCAATGCCAGAGAGTGCTGTGGGGTAGCCTCAGATACCTCAAAAATAGTTGTCTCGACCAGGCCCTGGCTCCGGCTGGTAGTGGCAGTGAGCAGCAGTGGCAGATGCCTTGGCCACCTCCCACTAGGTAATGGCCCAGCCTACCTGGCCAGGAACTAGGCCGGCCCACACCTTTTAACCCTTGCCTGTCTGCCACCAGGACTAGGGTCACCCCTGGGGGCAGTTTCAGGGCCAGGTCCACTCAGGGTGCCCAGCATGTCTAAGACAGCCTGGGCCAGGCAGGGTAGCTGGTGCCTGTAATCTCAGCACTTTGGGAGGATCGCTTGAAGCCAAGAGTTCAAGGCCAGACTATGCAACATGGTGAGACCCCCCCCATCTCTACAAAAAAATTTTAAAAAACTGGCCAGGCATGGAGGCATGTGCCTCCTCACCCCGTACACTTAGCAGAAAACTGGGAAGAAGGGCTGAGAGTGGTGGGAGTAGCAGCTGCCTCTCCTACTGCCCAAATTCCCAGAGGATTAGACGCTGCCCACCCAAGGGACACCTTGGATCTGGGCCATAGAGGTGTAAAGTACATGGCAGGCTTCGGGTGTTAAACTGGGTTTTTGTCTCTTGGCAATAAGCATCACATTCTGAGGCCCCTACCCTTTCCTCCCAGGGCAAGGCAGTGGTAGAAGGCCTTGGGGCAATTCCCACCCTCACTTGGGAATAGTTTCCCAAGTTGGGAACAGAGGAAGTCAACCCTTCTAAGGAGAGGCCAGGTCTCAAGATCCTTCTGTGGCTCCAGAAGAAATAATCTCAATAAATCAAGTACAACTTACACCCTACAAAACACTCATGGATTTTTACCCTTCTTGGTTCCTACAAATGTAGGAGGATGGCACAGACCCAGCCTCCTTACAGCCATTTTATAGATGCAGAAGCTGAGGCTTGGAAAGGTGAAGAGGCCCAATTCAGATTACAGCGGCAGAAGAGCAGGTGAAATCAGAATTTCCAGGGACTGGGTCCTGGCTGGGAGGCAGACAGAGGCTACTCCTGCTAGTGGGGAAGAGAAGTAGGGAAGGGGGCTCATGCTTCTTCACATCCATGCTGGGTCTCTCTTCTTCGGAGAGTTAGGCTTCATGCCAGAGAAGGAAATGAGAGCTTTGAGTCCCTACAATGTACTGTTCCTGCCTCCCCTCACCCCGCCCACCACCACCACCACCACGACCACCACCACCACCACCACCACCACCACCACCACCACCACCACCACCTGGGCTCTGGGCCAGTCTCGGCACACAGCACACATCCTGTGCTCCCTTCAGGACCATCTGCTCTGTGACCTCAGGGCCCAAGCCCCACCCAGCCCCCTGCAGCAGCCCACACCATGACCTGAAGTGAGGAAAGCTGCAGATGGGCCAAGCCTAGAGAGGAGCTCACTCTGAATCAGCAATGCCCCAGACTCACACTATTAAGGCCTCCCGTTATCCCTGCCCACCTTTCTTCCTGGGTGTGAGATTTTCAGCATGGAACACAAAGGCCCCTTTCATGGCCCTCCCCCCTTCACTGCCTGGGGCTGGTGGAGGTGGGCATTGAGTGTCTGTGGGGAGTGTCCTCTCGGCCACAGCCTCTCCCACCTCTTGTGGGCCACCAAGGATGTTGGGAAGCGGGACAATAATAAAATCAGAGCCAAGAGGGATGAGAATCTGGCTGGCAATGCAGATTGAGTCTTAAAGCTTAGGTCTCATCTGTAAAATGGGTAAAAGGTGGTTACAGAGACAATGGAGGCCAAGTAACTTTGAAAGGCATTTCAAAGTGCAAGGAAACACACCATGTCATTAACGACTGTTACTAACAACAATTAATACACTCACACAGAGGTGGGCTGTTGTGGGGGTAACTGGGGGAGAGCAGGTAACCGGATCTCCTGGGCCAGGCAGACAAATAGGGCAGAGTCACTAGCATACATCATTGCCCTGGTCCATGACTTTAAACAGCCTCGAAGATGACCCAACCTCTAAGCCCCATCCCAGCTGGGTCCTGGGCCTCACGTGACCCTGGTATCACTAGTAAATGGTAAGTCTGGGATTCAACCCAGTTCTGCCACTTACTGGCTGTGTGACTGCTTGAACAAGTCACTTAACCTCTCTGTGCCTCTCTGTCAATGGGGAATGATGATAACAGTATGTACCTCACGAGGCTATTGTGAGTATTAAATCAGTTAATACATTTAAAGCTTGTGCAGAACAGTGCCTGGGAAGAGCTCAGTTTATGTTGGCTGTCACACTTACAAGTATTCTTCCCCACAGGAAGTCAGGAATCAAGTAGATACATTCAGATACATTTTTTCCAGACAGAGCTAGTGTCCTTCAGTCTCACTTGATACATTTGAAACAGTTGTTTTTCCTCAGATAACTTGTCTGAACTCTCACTATCCAAAATCAGAGACTAAACGTATTCAAACGCAATTTTTTTTTTTTTTTTGAGATGGAGTCTCGCCCTGTCACCCAGGCTGGAGTGTAATGGCATGATCTCGGCTCACTGCAACCTCCATCTCCCGGGTTCAAGCAGTTCCCTGCTTTAGCCTCCTGTGCAGCTGGGATTACAGGAGCCTGCCACCACACCCGGCTAATTTTTGTATTTTTAGTAGAGGTGGGGTTTCACCATCTGGGCCAGGCTAGGCTCGAACTCCTGACCTTATGATCCACCAGCCTCAGCCTCCCAAAGTGCTGGGATTACAGGCGTGAGCCACTGCCCCCAGCCTCAGATCCATTTTTGAGACAGAACTAGTATCCCTCAGCTTCCAAATCCTACTTGCTAACTAGACACGGTACCCTTCCTGCTCACCAAATGAGACATATTTGAAACAGAGCTGTTTTCCCTCATGATTCAACCTGTCCTTTCTCAACATAAAAAATGCAGGAACCAAATACATTCAGAGAAACTGTCTGAACTCTCACCATACAAATGCAAGAACTGAATGGATTTAGAAACATTTTTGAGATACGACTGGTATCCCTCATTCTTGAACTTTCGTTACTCTCCAGGCAAAATGCAGAAACTTTACATAACAGGGTACCCTCACTATCCCAACTCTTGTCCCTGGAGCTCAGGAAAGTTCATAGATTCGGATATATTTTTGAGTTAAAGTCATTATTCTTCATTATCTCAATTTTCCCCACTCACTATGTAAGATGTGAAAACAAAATACCTTCAGATAACTTGGTAGGTTTCACTGTCTGAACTTCGGGCGCTCTCCCTCTCAGAATTCAGGTACCAAATAGATTGGGACAGTGAGGAATGCTTGTGTTGTTATCAATAGGTTTGGATAGATATTCAGGATAAATAAGATAGGTCTGGCATCTTGTTATTCAAACTCACTAGTCTCTGTGAGAAATGCAGGAACGAAACCTAATTGAGTAACACATTACCCTCTAGCCATCCAAGTTCTCCCCATCATCCTCAGAATCAAGGAGATTCGGACAATGAGGGGAACCCTGCATTATTGTCGTTACTGTTACTAGTGGACTGGCCTGATTCTTACATCCAGTGACTGCCTGGCCTTCTCTCCCACAGACAAGCCCCACAGAGGTGGGGTGGACTTAGCACCAAGATTTTTATTGCTTACTGCTGAGAGAAGGAGGATGAATCCTTGACCCCATCCCTCCTCTATACCAAGTCCTGAAGCCTTGGCCTAGAATAGACTTCTTCTCTTTCAGGCCAGGAAAACAGGGATCATGCACCCAGAATCAAGACCAGGGAATAGGGGTAACATGGCCTAGAAGATTCATACATACCCCAGCATCCCCCATCTCTTCATATTTTCTCAACTCTTCCCCACAACGTGAGGCAGTCCCCAACACAGCAAGGCTGGAAACATGACCCAGACCTCTCAGACTCCCAGAGAGTCACTGAATAATTTAGGGTATTCTTTCACACTTGCAGAGGGCAGCAGCGTAGAACAGTTGCATGCCCTCCTGGGGCAGGAAGAGAAATGTAAGCTCTATGTGAGATCACTAGGGTGGGGGTAGGGGAGATCACACACAAAAACCCCCATCAGCCACGCAGGGTGCATAGGGCTGCTTGCTCTTGCTAAGAGAAGCATTTGGGATGTACTTCAGAGGTCCTGGTAACAGCAGAATCTTCAAGTTCCGGGCACAGTATAATGGGACCCCTGTCCTGGGCTCAGAAGGGATGGCAAGTGGATATTAGGAAAGAAGAAGATCTGAACAGGGTGGAGGGGCATGGTAAGGGGGAGAACAGCCTGGGGCTGGGATGGGAAGGGACAGAACAAGGAGGAGCGTAGGGGACAAGATAGAACCAGAGTTATTGCAGGATGGAGGTCAAGAGGCAGGATGGGGAATGAGCCAGGACACTGGCCAGGGGATGGGATAAAGTAGGGTTCAGGACAAGGGTCAGAGAAAAAGTACAAGAAAGAGACAAAACAGCAGGGCAGACATGACTAGGAAAGGCTAAGCCAGTGGTCAAATGAGGGGACAGGGAAAAGGGCAGGTTCAGGATGGAGGTCAGGAACAGGAAAAGACCAGGACACAATGAGGATAGGAATAAGTATGGTGATGGGACAAGAAAAGAGGGAAAAACAGGACAGAGTCAGGGGCAGGGACAAGGCAGGAGACGGGGATATTTAAAGGTGGTGAGCCAAGATGCAGATCACGAGTATATAGGAGAGGATATCATATAGGGTGCAGAGAAAGGACAGAAGTTAGAGGGCAGGAATCAGGACAGAACTAGACCAGATTGGGGTTAGGGGGACAGGACATGACTGGTAGAGGTTCAGAGACTGGATAAGAGTTTAGGGAACAGACAAGTCAAGCGTCAGGACAGAAACCGGGGTCAGTGTTGGGCATTAGGATAGGGCAAGATGTTTCAGAGATGAGACGGGGTCGGGCAAAGATCAGGGTCAGGTCAAAGATCCCCAGGACAGAACTGAATGGGGTCTAGGGTCAGGACTGGATTTAGGGGGAACAAAACAGGGGTTGAGGATCATACCAGGCCAGAATATGGTTAGGTCAGGGCTCTGACGGAAGGTACTGAGGCCAAGGCCAACAGGGGTTGAGGTTTAAAAAAGATGTAGTCAAGTCGGAAGGGGTCAGGGCTGAGGCCACGGGGTCAGAGGTCGCGGGTGCGCGCGCAGGTACGCCCCATCGGCGTTTCCAGGCCTTCACCCCACCCTGTCCCCTCCCTTCCTCCGCAGGCGGGGCTGGTTACTCACCAAGGGTCCCAGCGCAGCGGTAGGCGGGGTCGGTGTCGGCCGGCCAGGGTAGTGGGCGCGCCCCTCCCTCACTGCGCCCTGCTCGTCCCCGGGCGCGCGCCTGCTCCCCTTCCGCGCCCTGCCCGTGGGCCGTGTTTGGCTGCGCGACCGTTAGCCGTGGGGACCAAACGGGGGTCGCGGGGAGGGTGGGAGGGGAGCGCCGGCCCGGCCGCGGGCGACGGACCCCCGCCCCCACCTCTAACTCGGGTCTGTCGGCTTCCAGCGGCACGGCCACCTCCGCCGCTCAGCCGAGCCTAGGGGGTGGGGGGACCAGGGGGCGGGGCGCGAGACCACAGCAGCGGCGGAGACGAAGTGCGCAGGCGCCGGCTCGGGTCTTGGATTTTTCTTGCTCCGGGAGCGCCAGGAGCGAACAAGCTGGGAGCGCGTGCGCACACTCTTTCTCGAGGGCGGCGGAGCCCTCCCTCGCCGAGGCCACGCCCCCTCAGGGAGCCTACTGGCGCCCCTCACCCCAAGTCGTCCCCTAGGGACCCGCAAGCAGTACCCCAAGCTGCTCTCTGTAAGTTATCCCCACACCTCTAAACCCCAGCTACCCTCCCTATTGTCCCTCAAATGCACTCCAAACCAACCTCCATTATCCTCCAAATTATATCCCCAAACTACTGTCTGTTGATTCCAAGCGGTACCTCCAGTCCACCCTCTATGGACACCCAAGCTGTAGCAGTAAACTACCTTACACTACCCCCAGTTTGCTCCACCAAACCATCTGCAATCAGCCCTGAAACCATTACCCTCCAAACAGCATGTCCAAATCACCTGCTATCTACTTCCAATGCGCACCCGTAACACCCTCCATTGACCCCAAACCCCTCTCCATGAACCCTCCAAGCCATATTCCATTGACCCAAAATGGCTCTCCAGGAGCCCCCAACACCAGTCCAAACATTCCTAATTACC